AGCTTGTATGCTACAGTGGTCATCATGGAGTCACTGTTTTGTGTTCAGCTCCTGGATTAGTTCTGCAGTGACCTATTACTGTGTAATCCAACGTTAACTCCAGTCCTCTCATTAAGTATTATGTAGACATGGTGGAGTGACCACTCTTTGACAGTAGCCAAATGTTAATTCTCTTCTTAGTACCTTGAATAGCAACAACTCCTGTGGTTTAGGTTGTGGAATAGAATGAAAGTTTTCAGCGTTTGAAATGTTCTTTCCATAGCCATATTTGCTGGCTCATGCCTGGGGTCCCAGGATGCAGGGGTCTGAGGCAGGGGATTATCAGTTTCAGACTATCCTGGGATATATAGCAAGGCCCTGCTTCAAAAAACAAAAAAGAAACCACTCCCCTACCCCTTCTGAGGCTGACACCTCTCCTTCCTTCTTCCTGTATTCTGATTTAATTGTCCTGTAGTTGACATTATTTTCTTCATGGAGAAAAACAACCTTGGTAAGACAGTAAGACAATCCTTGAAATGATAGGATGTGAAATATGGACCATTCAAAGCTCAGAATCTGGACATCTAAGAAAAAGCATAAGAGTGCTGGGCAGTGGCACATACCTTTAAACCCAGCACTCAGGAAGCAGAGGCAGGTGGATCTTTGTGAGTTCAAAGCCAGCCTGGTCTACAGAGTGAGTTCCAGGACAGGCTCCAAAGCAATACAGAGAAACCCTGTCTCGAAAAACAAAACAACAACAACAAAATAGTATTGAACAGTGGTGGCACACGCCTTTAATCCCAGCATGAGGGAGGCAGAGGCAGGCTGATCTGTGAGTTCAAGGCCAGCCTGGTCTAGAAAGACAATTTCAAGACAGCCAGGGCTACATACAGAGAACCCTTGTCCAGGAAAACAACAACAAACCAACAGTGTCTGGATACCTAAGGTTGGGACACCAGTTCCTTCTCACTCCAGGCTTTCATAGCTCACTGGATAACAGATAGAACCCTGAATTTGATAGGTCCTGGTGTGATTGATGTAGTGGAGGGTCCTGATGAGTATGAGCTCTCAGAGTACTCCCTACCAGATGAACCTCATACCAGCAGCTGAACTGAGATAACTAATGTCTCATTAAAGCCAATGTATAATAACTTTTCTAGGCATTTTTCTTGCTTATCTGCTTCATTACATTTGTCAGTGTGGTGGATAGATAAGACCACACATTGGGCTGCTTCCATCCTTGCTGATCTCTCTTTATTAGTCACTGCCTCTCACTGTGAACATTTTGCTACCACTTCGCCATATTCTTAAAGAGGAGAATAAATTCCCTTGGACTCTTTTGTAGTCAAGAGGAAGATTCCAAATAAAGCCTGAATAAGCTACAATCTAGTTTTACTAGCTGGGTAGCATTGAAGTTTGTGCTTTTCCTTTACTCTGGGTATAACACAATTAAGTTAACCTTTGTATTTCTGACTGTATATCTCATATCTTTTGGACCTTATATGTGTCAGATTCTAGATGAATATGTGTTCTTGGTTCTCGGTGGATTGTAATATAAAAAAGGGATCATCAAGATTGTTTTTATTTTCTTTTAAGATATATTTATTTTTATGTATATGGGTATTTTGCCCTCATGTATGTCTATGCACCATATGCATGCCTGGAAGAGGGTGTCAGATCCCCTAGGATTGGAATTACAATTGTGAGTCATCATGTGGATGCTTGGGATTGAATCCTTGTTTTCTGAAAGAACAGCCAGTGCCCACTGAACCATCTCTGCAAACCCCAGGATCGTTTTCTTCTGTGGTTTCAAATAACATTGGTCAGTAGCATGGGGAAAGACTGTGCTTAGATCTTTTCCAGCTAATATTCTAATAATATTCAAAGGTGAGAATAAAATCTTAAGGAAAGAAATTTAAATGGGCTAGACATGGTGGTATACACCTTTAATTACTACACTTGGGAGGCAGAGACAGGAAGATCACTATAATTCAAGGTCAGTGTGGTCCATATAATGAGTCCCAGGCCACCAAGGGCTACATTAGTGAGATCTTGTCTCAAAAGAAAAACTACAAATGGGATTTGTGTTAGCTGCTTCTCTCATCACTGGGATATATAAAATCCCTGTTTAGTCCATCATGGCCAGGAAAACACAGAGTTATTAGCAGCTGGAGTGCATCGTAGAGTTCCTCCGTCTTGATAGATCAAGAAGCAGAAAGCAGAACTGGAAATGGCTGGTATAACCCTCAAGGCCTTCTCTAGTGGCCTGTGCCTGTGCCCCCAAGTTTCCACAGCCTCCAAACACCAGTAACTAGGGACTAAATGTGCAAATATATGAGCTTGTGAGGGACGTTTCAAATCCAAGCTAGCAGGCTTTATTTCCTTTAGTCTAAATGTCACCAATAGCCTCTTCTGTGAGTGTTTTATTGAATATTTGGTAAAACTATCACTTCTTTTTTGTTGTTGTTGTTTTTCAAGACAGGGTTTCTCTGTATTGTTTTGGAGGCTGTCCTGGAACTTGCTCTGTAGACCAGGCTGGCCTCAAACTCAGAGATCTGCCTGCCTCTGCCTCCCAAGTGCTGGGATTAAAGGCATGCACCACTGACACACGCCTTTTTAAGTATGTTTTTTCCTTCTCACATATGCCAAGCAGTTTGATACAGAATTCTGTCTTTCAAGCTTGGGTTGCAAACTTGGCCAGAAGAGGGAGTGGTTTGGGGAAAGGAGGGTTAGCCTATTAGGAAATGATAAACCACATCTGCATTAGGACAAATGAGATGCTTTGTAGAGCCCTTTCCACCGGTTTTTGTATTTGGCTTTCCTTTCCTCCCTTAGAAAGGGTTTCTCTTTCTACTCACATTCTGACTTCTCGTTTTATATAGAAGTCAGCTCTAAAGTCATTTTTTTAACATCTTGTCTGACTCCTAATTATTCTCTACTGTGGTATTTTCAACCCTGGATGAATGTACATTAGAATGAACTAGCAGAGCTATTTCAAATGCCCAGATGACACCTCAGATAAGTAAATCATTGTCTCTGAGGATGAGACTGACAGTAGCAGCTTTTAAAGCTTATGTGCACACACAGATGGTTGATTTGTTTTGTGTGTAAGGCTGAAAGTAGTCATGGTTACTGGCATATAACTAAAGTAGTTATTAATACTATTTAAAAGTTCGAATGTTAATCTCAGAAAACACCAGATTTTTGTTAACAGGAAAATTAAAAGATGTGTTTCAAGTTACATGGCTTTTGCAAGCTTTTTTTGGTTCAACTTTTAACAACAAAGCATGTATCTGCCCTGTGTTCTCAGCCTTTGGGGATGCTGTTAAGAAATGACTTATCCCCATTTGCATTTTGAAAATTCTGCTTTACCATGCCTTTGAATCTTCACTTCATTATCCTCTAGGTAGAGGGAGATTGTTCCTCCAAAATGTCCTTTTCTGCTTAGTTATCTGTACAGGTTTGCATTGTGTTTTCTTTCTCCTGCCAGTCTGTAAAGCATGCCCTGATTAATCTGTGGTCTAGCTTGGCATCTTTTCATGCCTTGCATGCAATAAATGTTATATATTTGCCTGTCTGAATAAAGAGAATGCCATGCTTTTCAGGCATCATGCTACAGATATGTATCATTCTAGAACCAGGGAGAAGAGATGTGCAATGTCTTTGGCACCGTTTCAGTTACTCAAGTGGTTGGTTGCAATGACCTTTTTATTTGGTTAAGTATCTGGCTTCATCCAATGACACCATTAAGTGACCTGTGAGAACAACATTCTAGAAATGTTGGCTTGACTAAAGCACCTGCTAGTGTTATTTTCTATCTTAAACGAAACAAAATTTTGTCATAGGCCTCGCTATTTTTGAGCATAGATTCAATTTTGGGTTTTGACAATGTCGTTTTATATACTATAGTTCATAAGTCATTGTTCCCAAATAATAAAGATGCAGTCTAATTTTGTTTTTACTACAACCACAACACAATGATTTCTAAATTATTACTACGAAACAAAAATATTGCAGTACTTTTAGACTTTTAGTCTGTTTTTAGGACAAACCATTTGATGATTCACAGAGGGTTGTAGATACAATGAGAGCTAAGGAGGAAGCAAATATAGGACTGCAAACATCACCCCACAAAGAAGTTTTAGCTTTATAAATGAGAGGGAGAGAGACAGAGAGAGAGAGAGAGGAGATGAGGGAGAGACACACAGAGAGTCCAGCTAAACAGCTCCATTTTTTTTTGTTTTTGTTTTTTATTGGTATTGTCATGGAAGACACAACTGCCTTTAGGGTGAATTTGTATGTTATAGAGCCCTGAGGGGAAAGCAGCAAGACTAAGAACCTATGGAATTGTCTTCCTGTCAGCTAACCAATTAGTCTAGTTCTCTACTTTGCCTCTTTAAAATGACAGACTCCCTATAAATTACAGCATCTCTCCTTAGAGGCACCGACTGTGGGAGGTTTGGGGCAATGCATGCCTGTCTTTCTGTACTAGCTGTTTTTCCCCCAAAGAGCTGAAAACCTTTTATGTTCCACTGGTAATTTTTGAAGCTTGAAATTGCAACTCAATACTGGTTTGGTTCTTATCATCTCAGTGAGGCAGCAGGTTTTGTAGGTTAAAGCATTTCTAGTCTTTCTTTGCTTTCCTCCCCCACCTTAAATTTCTTTGTAAAGGAAAAATAATGCTGCTTGACCTTAGAGCTCTTTAGAGTATACCAACACTAAATCTTGTTTGGATTTGTGCCAATGAGTTGGGGTAGAAAATTGGATCTGAAACATCCCTATGATGTCCCAGCTCCATTTTCCAAGTTTTTGCTAAATGCTCACACTCTTTCATTACCACCACTTGGATCTGTTAGAACATGTTTCTTGGCGATCTAGAATTCCTTTGGCTTTGGGAGACTAGTCAAATGGCATGTATTTCCAATGACTTGGTAGAGCAATTTACAGAATCTATATGGGCATCTAGTACTTAGCTAAATGAACTCTACCTCTCTCTCCTCTCTCTCCTTTCTCTCTTTCAGCTTGGCAGTGACCTTGGCGGGGGCATTGGAGGAAGTCCGGCAGTAAGTGCCATCTGTTTTTTTCGCCATGGGAAGCTCTGTCTTGATTGATGCTTTCCTTCACACACATGTCATGGGAGCAGTCATCACTGCTCTCCAGCACTGCACACCTCACAAGCTTGGTAGCAGTGCATGAGGGTAGAGAGAGTGCAGGGTTACTTGGGGTCACATACCACATGTGGTCTAGGGACTTCTTTAGGGACTGATGCTGTGGTACCTGTAGAGATCTTTGTGTTTCTGACATTGAAGAGCTGAAGGAAATGGACCCTGCCATCTTAATTGCAGAATGCTTTTAGACCCTGGTGTCCAGAAGGAACTTGAGTGAGTTTTCTGGATTCACAGAGGCATTTTCCTCAGAGATGTGTTCCTATGGGGTGTGAATATCATCTCCTGCAGGAGAGCTTCCTGCTAGATATTAACACCCAAATGGGAAGTAAGACTTGGCCCAACTCAAGTGGAAATGGAACTGCTATTTAAAAGTCAGATGTTTCTTCCTTGTTCTATAGACACAAACTCTTCTTTTGTTATTGTACCTGTAGGCCTTTTGCACAGAATCGTGGAAGCTAAAATTGGAAACAAACAAGACAAAATCTTGGATCACTGTGTTCTTGCATCCTGCCTAGTACTGTGTCTTGACAAAGCTTTTAAAGCATGTGTATATTTATCATTGGTGAAAGAAATGTAATTGAAACAAGATGCTGATTGGATTCTTACAAATATTGTAACTGCAGTGTTTTCTAATTGATTTGCCAATGCTGTTAAAATACATAACATTTTAAGGACAATTAATCTATTCTTTCTCACCTCTTTTCCTTTTTTCCCCAAAGGTAGGACAGTCCTTCATCCCGTCATCGGTGCCTGCAACCTTCGCTCCTTCACCTACTCCTGCTGTGGTCAGCAGCGGTCTGAATGACCTGTTTGAGCTTTCCACGGGGATAGGCATGGCGCCTGGTGGATATGTGGCTCCTAAGGCCGTAAGTAGAATGAACAATACTTTCTCAGTGGACAAACCCTAGATTACTTCTAGCAAGTGTTACTTCCACTAACACAGGGGCATAGCTCTTGTACTGGAGGATCTATGATGAACTTAACCATAGGAAACACCATTAGACTTAAAATTGGAAATATTAAATACTGAGTTTGGGGCTCATGTTTAGAGACATCTAATTTGTCAGCATTAAGGTGTATCTGATAAAAACCTGGCACATATAGATATACACACAATGGAGAAAGTGACATTTTTCCCCTTTCTTTTCATTTCCCTTTGTCATTGGGTACTATATGTAGATTCTAGGGTACAATTCCTCAAATTTTATTTTCATGGGTTTTAGTATACCTCTTTTCTTTTGTGGCCCAAGCTCAAACTCATGGTCTTTTGCATCAGCTCCTAGGTGCTAGAACTATAGCGGTTTGCCACTGTTTTATACAGAGAATGATCTATGATAGCCATGGTTTCCAATGAGTTAATTTATTAGGTATGTAGCAGGCAGGAGTGGAAGAACAGATAGACAGCAGAGCATCATCACATCAGGTACTTACAGGCCTCTGTGGAAACAACTGGGGAACCCAGTTAGGAGAACTAGCATAAGGAATCATCAAGCCAGGCGCTCACAACTGCAGAATTGACTGAAATAGTGAAGCTAGAGTTCTGGAGTGAGATCTCCAGGCAAGCAGGGAAACTCTAGATGAGTTTCTAACTTCTGATTCCCAAAGCGGGTACTTTTAGCTCATGGGAGAGACAATAGTAACATCTGTTGGAAATAGTTTGTCTTCTGTCCATTCTCAAAGACGCAGGTTCTCAAAGACGCAGTGTTTTAAATATCCTGAGCTGTTTGCTGTTCTCCTATTAGAGAGGAAGAAGGCCAACCTGACCTAGGACAAGGAGTTTTAGGGGACACTTGATGGAAATGCTTGAGTATGAGACAAGGCAGCCCTCACTCATACAGTCCCCTTTTTGCAAACATAGGGCATGCCAACTTAGCAGTGTAATTCTGTTACAGCCATTGTGTTCAGCTTCGGTTTGTTTTTTTTTTTTTGTTTTTTGTTCTTTCAAGACAGGGTTTCTCTGTATTGTTTTGGAGGCTGTCCTGGAACTCGCTCTGTAGACCAGGCTGGCCTCAAACTCACAGATAACCTCCTGCCTCTGCCTCCCAAGTGCTGGGATTAAAGGTGTACACCACCAACGTCCGGCAAGCTCCCGTGTTCTTTCTTAGCTATGTGTTTTAGGACTCTCCCAGTCTCAGTCTTGCTTGATGTTGCTCAGATATAAATTTAAAATGGGAAACTCTGTAAATTGAAGTTTCATTTAGGCTCTTGAGAGAGGTACTTGCCAGCCAATGTGAGTATAGCCTTATCTTTCTAAGGACCAGCATCCCTGATTTCTTCCTTTCCCCATCTAATTCTTCACAAGGAATCTTGCTGTAGCAGTTTACACTGGTTGTCTGCGGAGAATCATTACTTGTATATACAGCCATTGTATAGCACAACCAAAAATAGACTCAGAATTGAGCCATACTGTTTTAACGTGGCTTTGTAGGTTTGTTGTAAGGTCTACTGTGTTGGACTTTGCACTTCAGACAGTATCTAAGGGGCTAGAGAGTTGGCTCAGTGAGTACTTGTTGCTCTCATAGAAGACCTGGGTTTGATTCCCAACAACTGTATAGTGGCTCACAAGTCCTGAGAGATCCAACATCGTGTTCTGACCTTTGAGGGTACCAGACACATACATGGTGCACAGACAGACATACATGTAGGCAAAATACATACATATAAAATAATAAAGTTAATAAACTTAAAAACTAACATTTTTTTTTTAAAGTTACTCTTGCTAGGCAGTGGTGGTGTATGCCTTTAATCTCAGCATTTGGGAAGCAGAGGCAGACGAATCTTTAAGTTCCAGGCCATCCAGGGCTACACAGAAAAACACTGTCTTGAAAAGAAAGGAAAGAAAGAAAAAAGAAAGATTAATTTAAAAAGTTATTTAATGTACTCAGTTATCAGTGTAAAAATTATATCTAAAAATGGCCAATTGAAATAATTTACAGGTCTAAGACAGAATATTAAGCCTTTTCTTATCCCCATTTCCCCTTACATAGTCACTTTAAAACAAAAAGGAAAAACTATGCATATTCCTATATATTATATCCTTTGAAAATGCTGGCACCAGGATTTGCTACTTTACATAGTTTTGTAGTTATCATAATCTGCTGAATGGCTGTATTTACTAGATTGATAAATTAGTTTATTAATTATTCTCCAGATTGATAAATTAGTTTATTAATTATTCTCCTGTTAATGGACATTTATGTTACTACCTGGTGCTTTCTTCATTCTTTGTTGTGATGTTGCAGAGAACATCCTTGTATGTTTTTGTAGAGTATCTATAGGACAACTTTGCAATTGGCTTCATTATGTCACATTTTAAAATAGACATTACCAATCTGCTCTCTGAAAAGGTGGTGTCAGATTACTGCCAACAAATCATAAAGAGTACCAAGTCTCCCATATTCTACCTTACCCCAGAAATCAACTGGGTGTTTGTTTTTTGACTTTTTTTAACCTTCTCATAAATGAAATATGTTTATATTTTCTCTTTTCAGTGTGGCTGGATAAATTATGATTATTCATGGCTCATAAACTCTCTAGCTAAGGGTCGTAACAGCTCATAAACTTCCTGACTTTTTAAAGTAGTATGAATCAGAAATATTACAAATTCTGGGGCCAAGGATACATAACCAATTATATATAGAAAAGCATCTAAGTAACATCTGAGGTGTTAACTGTTTGTCAGAAATGGGAATAGATTTAAATATAACATAACATATGGTCTTTACCCCTAATGGGGTACTGGTAATGTTGGAAATGTCTTGAAAGATTACAGTTATGCTATCTTCATTAATAGATCCAATTTCTTCCCTTTAAGTTTTTTTCCAGTCTAACAAACATGATACTTACCAGAATACTTTTTACTTGTATACGTGTTTGAACAGATGATAGAAAAAATGCCAATTGCTCATGGACTTTTATTTTAAATTGGCTCTTAAATAATTGAGCATGATCTCAAAATTCAAAAAATACTACTTTATTAAGAGCCTTTCATACAGACTTAGAATTTGTTGTCTAAAAATCACCATAATTTCCAAGGGGGGTGGATCTCTTTTCATATGTTGGGAAAGAAGCAGCATGGAGGTAAATCTTCCATTCTGGGCTTTGTGCTGTTTTGTCAGGTCTGGCTACCTGCAGTAAAGGCTAAAGGCTTAGAGATCTCGGGCACATTCACTCACCGCCAAGGGCACATCTATATGGAAATGAACTTCACCAACAAAGCCCTGCAGCATATGACGGACTTTGCCATCCAGTTCAACAAGAATAGGTAAGAAGCACACATCCTGGGTTTGTTGTTGAGTAGTCATGTGCTTTATACTGAGTAAGAGAAATCTCTATTCTGCAGGGGGTAAAAGCTCCAACTGGCAAATCCTGAGTGTAGAGGAAGCTTTGTTCTGTAAGTCTGTTCAATTGTCAGCTTCAATTCTGGAAAACAAGGGTGAAATTATGGACTTGAGGTATAGCTCAGTGGTAGAACACTCACCTAGCATACACACACACACACACACACACACACACACACACACACACACACACACACACACACACACACACACGGGCGGGACAGGGAAGAAGCAAAATGATTTTTGTTGTTGTCATTGTTTGAATTTTTTGAGACAGGATTCCCCTGTGTAACCCTGGTTGTCCTGGAACTTACCCTAAAGTCCAGACTGGCCTCAAACTCAGAGATCCACCTACCTCTGTTCCTGAGTGCTGGGATTCAAGACATGTGCCATCACACCCAGCCAAAATAGTTTTTGAAAATAAATCTTGCAGTCAAATCAGGGCACAGTGACACAAGCCTATGATCCCAATACTCAGAAGGCAGAGAGGCAGGGAGAATCAGGAGTTCAAGTTCATCCTTGGCTATATAGTGACTTCAGAGCCAGTCTGGCTAATGTGAAACCTTGTCTCACAAAACCAAACTAAACTAAACTAAACCAAACCAACCAAACAAACAAAAAACCCTAATCAATAAATGAGCTACCGAACATACAGTTCTCCAAAGAAGAAACATAGTGAAAAAAATGTTAATGTAAAACTGTTTAATGTTCTTAGCCATTGGGGAAAAGTAAATTAAAACCATCTTGAGAGTCTGTCTCATCCAATCAGAATGGCTATCAGGAAAATGGCAAATACTGGCAAAGAAAAGGTACCCTTCATCAGTGCTACTGGTAGTGGAAACTCATCCATCTGGAACAAAAAAAGCAGAGTATGCCATTACCCTCTGTATTGACCAGACAGGATATTAAACTAGTGACATAACACTAATGTTTCATACTTTGCTTTACAAAGTGAATATTCCTTGTGATCCTCCTGTCCTAGCCTCTCAAGTGCTAAGATTACTCACAAAGGTGATTCTTGAATCTTCTTCTGAAAGAGAGAGATGCTTATCAAATCTGTGCCTCCAGGAGAACATGGCCCATTGAATGAACTAAGCAATGCTTGCTCATAATGGGTTCACAGAAACTGAAGTAGCAAACATGGGACCTGCACAGGTCTGGACCAGGTCCTCTGTTATGGCTGTTAGCTCTGTGTTTTCGTGGGACTCATAATCGTAGGAGCAGGTGTGTCTCTGACTCTTTTTGCCTGCTCTTGGGACTCTTTTCCTCTTATTGGGTTGCCTTGTCCAACCTCAATAGAAGGGTTTTTGCCTTGTCTTACTGTGTCTTAGTTTGGCTGTTGTCTCTTGGAGGCCTATTCTTTTTCTGGAGGGAAATGGGAGTGGGGGATCACTATAGGGGAGAGGGAAAGTATTGGGGTGTTGAGAAGAGCGTAGAGAAGGGAAACTCTGGTGTTAGCATGTATTATAGGAGAGAAGAGTCTATTTTCAGTTTTACAAAAGTCATGTCCCTCCAGCAACTGATACACAAAAGAATCTTTCAGAATTACAGCTTTAGCAATTGATCCTGCCCATGACCAATGTCTCCTTTTTCAAGTCCATATAATGGAAATAGAAGTCATAGCATATCCAGTGTAGGAGCAGGCCAGCTGAGCACTCTGTTTCCTTCCATTTAGTTGTCTTAAAAGTGATTTCATTGTGGTAAAGCCATGGAAACCTGTGAGTGTGTGAACCCTGCCTCTTGACTAATGTATGGGTGTTCTTCCTCCTCTCTCTAGTTTTGGTGTCATTCCGAGCACCCCCTTGGCTATCCATACTCCATTGATGCCAAACCAGAGCATTGATGTCTCTCTGCCTCTCAACACCTTGGGCCCAGTCATGAAGATGGAACCTCTGAATAACTTGCAGGTCAGAGTTTTCCTTCACTTGCAGAGTGTTTGTTAATATCTTGCTGTTTTCCCTTTATGTGTAAAGTGATCTATCTGTAGTCACCCATTCTCCATTGGTGTGACAAAATACCCACATACATGTAGAGACTTTAGCTCACAGTTTGGCAGCTGTAAGAGCTTAGTGTCAGCATTTAATCAATCTGGTGGAGCACTCTGGCTTCCTTTTATCATGCACAGAATCATGGCAGGTGACTAGTTACAGGGAAAAGTCACAGTGGCAACAGGCGAAGCAAAGGAGAAGCAGAGACAGTGATTTTTTTTTAAATAAAAACTTACTCTTCCAGCCGGGTGGTGGCGGCGCACGCCTTTAATCCCAGCACTCAGGAGGCAGAGGCAGGCGGATCGCCGTGAGTTCAAGGCTGGGCTGGACTGACAACCTCCAAAACAATACAGAGAAACCCTGTCTCATAAAACAAAAACAACTTTTCCACAACCTAGACAGGCTCTCACAGGAACTACTGTGATGTCTTGAAGGGCCAGTGTTCCCAGTGACCTCACCACTAGGCCATTCCCAGTCTCAGCTCCAACATACAAAAGACCCATCCTCCCAGTATGAAACCTCTAAGGAAAACCTCTTTCCTTATCATAAAGTTGGTAACAAAATAGTTTGAAGTAACTCTATGGTGAAGAGTTTTAATTTTTTTTAAATAAACAAACAAAAATAAGCTATGCAATGACTTAGAGAGTTACTTATTCAATAAACATTTAGTTTATTTTTTGAGAGTTTTGATTATCTTAATTTGGCTGAGAATGACTTTGAACTTGGTCCTCCAGGTTCTACCTCCTCTAAGTGCAGGGTTATAGATAAGCAGCACTATACCTGGTTTAAGATTTCCAGCTGAGGAAACTGGAGACGTGACTCAGCAGTTAAGAGCACTGGCTGCTGTGGTGATATATTATTTATGATTTATTAAAGCTTGCCTGAGGATTCAGAAAGCAAAGTCAGCCACAGGCACACACCTTTAATCCCAGCAGCCAGAAGCTAGGAGGTGGTGGTACACACCTTTAATCCTGTGACTCAGGATTAAGAGGTAGACAAATCTCTGTGAGTCCAAGGCCACCCAGATCTACACAAGATTGATCTAGTCCTAAAGAGTAACAGTTCACATAAAGATGATCTGAGCACCTGGGATCCCACGCCTTTAATCCCAGCACTAGAGGGTTATAAAAGATAGGAGCGGGGTCTTTAGTAGTCAGTTTCAGTCATTCATTCATTCTCCAGCCACATTGAGGATAGGAGGACATTCAGTCTCAGGATTCTCCAGTCACACTGAAGAGAGGCAGCAGGATGAGCCCATTCAGCCTGAGATAGTGGGAAGAGCTAGCGGCCCTCTACTTTGCTTTTCTAATCTTCCACTTAAAATTTGAACCCCAATATCAGTTTCTAGGTCTTTTATTTTTTTGTGCTACAGGCTACATTTAACTGAGGACCAGATTCAGTTGCCAGCACCCACATGCAACTCACAACCACCTGTGACTACAGTTCCAAGGGATCTGACACTCTCTTCTGGCTTCTGGGAACTGCACACATGGTACCCAATCATGAAATACAGGCAAATACACATGAAAGTAATAAAACTTTTTTTAAAGAAGACTGGGCTGGAGAGATGGCTCAGTGGTTAAGAGCACTGACTGCTCTTCCAGAGAACCCAGGTTCAATTCCCAGCAACCACATAACAGCTAACAACTGTCTGTAACTTCAAGATCTGACACCCTCACACATTCATGCAGGTAAAACACCAATGCAAATCAAATCAAAATAAATTATTAGGAAAAACAGAAAGGCTCCCACCTGAGAAGAAAATATGTCGATAGTGAGCTCACACTGGATCAAAAATGAAAGGAGAAAAGGAAGAAGATGCCCTGTGGCAGGCTTAAGTCTTAGTGGAGGATTGTTATCCCTGCCTAGAAATTGAAACAACAGAATAATTTGAAGGAGACTGAAATGTTTAATATGGTGAAAGAAAAATATTAGCTATGCACTTTCCAGTCCAGACAGATGGATCACATTGCTCAGTTTTCTAGAAATACTGATGTGAGATGTGACTACTGTTGATAAAACAGCTATTATGTTGAACTTTGAACTAAATATTCTTCAGTAGTAAAGACATCGGCATAATTGTCTGCCAGTTCACCGACTACCTTGTTGCCACAGTGGCTAATTGTTGCTTTTCTTAGCACTGAGTAAGAATTTTTCAGAGTAGACAAGTGAGTCAGAATATAACTTGGCTGAGACTAGAAGAAGAAAACAAGGGTTACTCCGTAGATAGAATTGGCTGTTACTATGAGGAAAGTAATGTGTTAAGGGTGTTTCCAGCTCACAGTCTTCAAGTAACTAACCCAGATATGCATCTGCTCTCTTTCTTGGAGTCTAGCCTTCCATTGGCCCATTAAGCCTCAAGCATGATGTCTAGGACAGTCAGCATGCATGCATGAATGCCTTCCTTCAGGAGTAGGAAGGATATTTGGGTCACAGAAACTAGGGCAAGCATTCAGTGCCTAAAAGAAAATAAAGGAATGTTAGTTTACTTTCCTATTTGCATTTCTAATTTACTGAATCCCAGATAGGAACCCTCCTAAAAGAAGGTGGGCCTTAAATCTAAAGCCCTCCCTTGAAGGTACTAATACAATATTGGGATTAATAAGTTATTTTTTACACATCTGCTGTTGTAAAAAACAGTCTGTAAAAGACTGTGTCTAAAGATTGGACCTGTCACTTGCGTAGCAAGCACAATCTGTGCTACCCCCAATTCCATCTCCAGTAACTACTGATTCTTCAAGCTCTCTTTTCTCTCAGGGATAGCATAATTGTGACTCTCTTATTAATTTGCACTTCTCAGTAGTAAAGATAAATAAAACCTTGAAAAGAGAAAAGCTTTCATCTTCTGGAAATTGTATTAATGTCTGCTGATGGGAGTGAGGGACTGCAGAATTTATCTTCCATTCTGCTCTTGTCCTCATGTGAACAAGTAGAGTTAAAATTAACTTAAGATTAGACCAAATAGCCCAAACTTACTATAATACTGTTACAAAAGTTTTTCATTAAAATACTCATTAAGCGGCCCGGCGTTGGTGGCGCACGCCTTTAATCCCAGCACACGGGAGGCAGAGGCAGTCGGATCTCTGTGAGTTCGAGGCCAGCCTGGTCTACAGAGCAAGTTCCAGGACAGCCTCCAAAACAATACAGAGAAACCCTGTCTTGAAAAACAAAACTCATTAAGCTACCATTTGTTGTAGTATGAAATAGTATAAGTTAAGAAGATACCATTTCTTCACATGTATTTGTGTATGCTGGGTCCATATATGCATACGTGTGTATGTGTGGGTATGGATGCCAGTGGTTGACATCTACCTTGTGTTTTGAGACAGGATTCACATAGAGTTTGTGATTCAGCTGGTCTGGTTGCCTGATGAGCTCCAGGTGTCTACCTTCTTTGCTTTCAGAGTGCTGGAGTTACAGATACATGCCACCATAGCTGGCTTGTTTTTGTTTTTTGTTTTCTGAGATAGGGTTTCTCTGTGTAGCTTGGAGCCTATTCTGGCACTCACTCTGTAGACCAGGCTGACCTTGAACTCACAGAGATCCTGCTGCCTCTGCCTCTGCCTCCCGAGTGCTGGAATTAAAGGTGTACGCCACCAACAGCTGGACATAGCTGGCTTTCTTATGTGGCTGCTGAGGATCAAACTCAAATGGTCAGACTTCGACACCACACATTTTACCAACTGAGCCATCTCCCCTGTCTGCTTCTCTCTCTCTCTCTCTCTCTCTCTCTCTCTCTCTCTCTCTCTCTCTCTCTCTCTCTCTCTCTCTCTCTCTCTCTCTCTCTCTCTCTCTCGTGTGTGTGTGTGTGTGTGTGTGTGTGTGTGTGTGTGTGTGTGTGTGTGTGTGTGTGTGTGTGTGTGTGTGTGTGTGTGTGTGTGTGTGTGTGAACCCCTGGTGTCATTTTCCTCAGGAGAGCACCTCATTTTAGGACATACTCTCTTGTTGGCCCAGAGTCACCAAGCAGGCTAAGCTAGGTGACCGCGAATCCTAGGATCTGCCTGTCTTTGCCTGTCTTCCCACTGCTGATATTAAAAGCATTTGACACCATACATGTTTTTGTTTTAATGGTTTCTGCTCACCAAAACCTCTGCTTGCAAAGGAAGTGCTTTACTGATTGAGCTGTCTCCCCAGCCCCAATTACTTCTTAAAGTAGAAAGTCAGTTATTCTACCAACAGATACAGAGTGAAATCTCTAGTAGAGATTTGAACCTAGGATGATTTTACTGCTTTTTTGAGGGTGAGTTCTTGCCTACTATGTGTAAAACTCTAGGTTTGATCCACAGCAACACACACACACACACACACACACACACACACACACACCTTATAAATAGTATATGGAGTAAAATTTGCCCCACTGTGGAATTCTTTTGAGTTTATTTATATCAGATAATTATATCCTAAAAAAGAAAAGATTATTCCCTCTATTTAAATAAAACAAAAACCTTAACAAGTGTCTAAATAATTTTCTCTAAATGTGTTTAATTGACTCCAGTGTCATTGTTTTTCATTCCACATGTTTTAGTTGCTTAGAAACATTTTCTCAGTATACTCACTGGCAAGTAACTGCTTCTTCAAGTCAAAGCCTACACAGAGACAATGGAGCTATGACATGCCTTAGAGTTCCCATGACTACATGGCTTCCTTTTTCACTGTGCTGTAGCTGGGAATATTGATAGTGTCATTCTTTCAAGATACTTTTTAGTAGGGTTATGTAAGTGTAGGTTAAAGGATCATCTGGGTTGAACATGATGTCTCTAACCTCAGCACTAGTAAGCCTTAGGCAAGGATATTACAGCAAGCATAAGGCTAGCCTGGGCTCTACATAGTGAGCTTCAGATTAGCTAAATAAATGATTGGGCTAAAGTGTGAGACTCTTGTCTCTAAAAAACAAAAGCTAATTCTACAGGAAAAAC